TTTGAAGTATTGCTGTTAAAAACAAAAAACGAAAGAGCTTTTGAGAAGGTGAACATGGTCAGTCCAGAGGCTTGTCTAATCGAGTTCTGTATTCTGCCTCAGAGGGGCCCCAATACAGTGAGGTTTCTTTAACCAACCCCCCTGCATCCTTGAAATCACAGGCTTGGAATATGGAGTGAGATTTGCACTTAAATATGCAGGGTGGCCAGATCCACAGCTGGGAATAAAGGCCAGAATTCCAAAATACAAGATTCAACAAAAAGAAAAATCACATCTCTGCCTAAAATAATGTTTAATTGGTACAGATGGCCCTGGTTACCACTTTTGTAGACACGTCTGCATGGTGAGTCACTTATCTTCCTACTTTCCTGCCCCTGGCCACACACCAGACTTTTTCCCCAAGGCAGGCCCATGGGTCTGGAGGATGTGTAAAAGGAATATTCTATATCAGGGGTCAGCAAACTTATTCTGATGCAACTACTCAACTCTATTGCAGTGTGAAAGCAGCCTTAGACATATATAAACAAATGGGCATGGCTATGTTTCGACACAATTTTATTTATAAAACCAGGGAGGAGGGATTGGGGTAGTGGTGGCTTTGGCCTGTGGGCCATAGTTTGCCAATCTCTGGGCTAAAGTAAACCCCAGCCCACCTTTAGGGAGACATTTTCTCTGGGGCTGCTATAAGGCCCAGCTAGCTCCAAGGAAGATCAGTCACTTGGAAGTACTGGATTCTCCCAAATATCTGTAAGTAGTCGACAAGAAAAATGTGCAGGGCCTGTGCCTTTAACCAGATGGAGTGGTGGGCCCACCCTCATCCATCCCTGTGCCTGTTTCAGTTCCTATTTATCTCCTTAATCACTAGTCCCAAGGAATTTGCCATAATCCGCATTAGAAGCTTCCCTATGCCCAGCCAGGGCAGTGGGGTCCCAAGGACTCACGGTTGGGTCCAAGCTCTCCTCCTCCGCACCCACACCATCATCAGCAGTGTGGCCGGTGGCAGCAGCAGCGGCCTGGCTTAGTTGTTTCTCACTGAGCTCCTTCTGCTTGGCCTCCTTCTCTGCTATTTTCTTCTCAGCTTTCAGGCGTCTCTTTAGCTCACTGTCAGGAAGATGAAAATGTTCAGTGTGACAGATGCCTGAAGGGTCTTCTATGTTCTGCCCCATAGCTACTTATCAAAAATATGAATAACCTGGGGAAACACTCATGCCCAGTTCTACATGCCCACTGTTAGTCTCTCAGTCACTGAACTCTATATGGGAAACAGACAAGGGAAAAAAATAAACTTAGAATAAAGATGTGAAAGATCTTTCTCAGTCTCTTTTTTCCAGTCTGAGGTCCTTGGCATTAGATCCCAACTAAAATCAAGATAGACAAGGACAAAGAAAACCCTACATATTAATTTATATTTAGAATAGGAAAAAAGATTTTCCAGAAAATCAGCAAGATAGGCTTTTCTCAAGCTAATTAGGCTTGGGAGCTCCTTGAGGCCAGGGACTGAATCTTAGTTGTTTGGATTCCTCTGCAGAATATGAAGTTTCTAGAGCATCAGATCTGATGTGTGATAAGGTGACATCTCTAGCTTTGTCTGTCATCTCTCTCCCCTCCCGAAAGTGGGTTAGTCTGGGGTGGGGTGAGGAAGAGGGGGCTCTTCAGAGTTCAGGGAGACACTCCACTGACAATCTCTCCCCCCAGAATTGATCAATGCATTGACAGTGGCCCTCAGCATTGGCCTCACTCTCCACAATGGAGCCTGACTTTGACAACAAATTGGGTAGAATAGTGTACAAAGCAGCATAGCACAGGGGATAATATACCATCTTTGGAGCCAGACTGCCTGGGGCTAAATCCTGACATGCCTACCTACCAATTATATGACTCTGGGCAAGTAACTTAATTTCTTCTGTAAAATAATAATAGACACCCTCCTCCCCAGATGTTGTGAGGACTGAGATAATATACATAAAGAGATGACCCCACCCCTAGCATTTTAGTAACCATGCAAATGTGAACCATTCTAGGCATCCCTCACTATCTCAACCCTTCACACTCTGCTTCAAGGACAGAAATTTTACAGATGTGGATAAATTTCTTGTCAAACCTCTCACTATTCAAACTCTTCATACTCGTCACCTGAGACTCAAAAACTAAAGCGATTGGTACAACTTGGTTTAAATAACTTGAAAACTTGCTATCCGAACCCAGAAACCAAACAGATTTGGGTAGAGAGGGATACCCTCATTATTCAAATAGACTTGATCATTCTTTTAAACCACCAATGTTAACTGAATATCCTGTCATAACGAACCATGGCAAATGATCCTTAGTCAGGCTTGCATACTGTTTGGCTTCAGGGTACGTTTTAAATTATCTATGAGTTTAGAATAACTCAATTAAAAAAACTTAACTGAAGATTTGAAATGATTATCTTTTAAGTAAGAAAACTGACTCTGAGGGCCTCAAAGTAAGTGTCCCTGGATAAAATCTGTTTTGTAGCAGTTGTGAAGCCACCTTTCTAGAACAGTGTCCTAGACTTATTGTGCTGTCATTCAGTCAGTGGGCATCGAAGCCTCTCTGGTTCTTCCTGGCATTAACATAATGAACTTGTTTTCCGTTCAACTGGCTGTTGCTCTTTAAGTCAAATCAATAATAAGGATAATCCAAAAAGGTCCTAGGAGTAAGAACTAAGACTAGAAACCAAGTTAATCTCAGGAGCAAAGAAATTCCAGAAAGACAGGGAAGGGAAAATAACCTGCATTAGAAATTCTTTATTCATAAAGGGTTTTGTTCTCAGCATTGTTCTAGGATAAGACCTAAAAGTCATCTCAAGAATCTATGGAGTGAGAATTTGAATTTATTAAAGAGAAACTGAGAAAGGACTATTGGTTTTGGTAGGTAGCAGGGTTGTTTCATTAGCAAGTCCAAAGACTTAGCCAGAGGCTTAACAGATAAGAAACTAAGTAAGGGAAGGATTTTTGCTCCCAGAGCAATAAAGAAGGTAATGGGCACCAACCTTCTTTTATCAAAAAGTGGCTTGTCCTTGTGAATCGTTGTGAAACGAGCAAGTTGACACAGGCGCAGCTCCCTCTGCCCCCACTGTGCCCAGGACGTTTGGCACAGGGACCCCCTAACAAGCCTTACAGCAGCTTGCGTCAACATGGCAGATTACCCTGGAACTAATGATTACCACCACCTAACAGGAAACACAGAGATGTGGTGTCAGATGGCACAGACAGTACACATACTCCCAGCCAGCACTCCTACTCTTATGGGTTGCGTGCGGGGAGAAGGCGAGGTTACGAAACCTTTTAGTGTCCCATTTTACATAAGACCCTCTCAACTGACATCAACCCTGTAACACTCACTGTGCTGCAAATTAACTGACAATGTTCTCAGTCCTGGCTATGGTAAGATGGTGCTTATTTGGGGTCAACAGCAAGTCAGTCAATGGTTTATGGGTAGAAATGATCACAACAGTCTAGAAAATGGGAGTGTTTCTGAAGCCCCTGACATGTAGTTTCTCTCTTGGTGATGAAATACCTGTCCACAAAGATGGCAATGGGAAGCATACAAAACATCACCATCAATTGCAAACTCTAGAGGAAGCTGAAAACAAGCCACACAAAAGCACCTGAATCAAAGACAAGCCTTGTTTGGAGCTCCAGGAACAAGGAGGAAAGAAGAAATTCACAAAGAGTCTCAGACTACATTAAGTTTATACATTAACACTGGAAGGCAACAGAACGACAGAGATCATGTTCTTTATTGCCTTAAAATAAATGTGGCCTTGAATGAATCACCTGGCAGGCAGCCTATCTGTTTTTAAACTTGGAGAAAATAACTGGCATACAATGGTGCTCACTAAAGATTCACACCAAGGAAGTTCCAAGAATAATTAAGAAACAGAACTAAAAAAATGCACTAAAGCAGGCATTATATGCAATAAACTAACTTCTCTCCGATGCCTCTGGAACGGTACTATATTTATGTACTATCCTTAGGAGTACTGAGGAACTAGTCACTCAGATCATTACCTATGTTCTATGAGGAACTCCGGTTGAGAAGGAGTGTAGTATTAAGAGGATACAAGACACAGTCAGTGAAAGGGCGGCTAATCTTAACTTATTTATATTTACCTTCATACTCCAAGGATTTGGGGTGATTAACAAAGATACAGCCAGCAGTGCCAAGTGCAGTTTGGTGTACCCGGCTAAATAAGACAGTCCCTACTGCCAGACATACAATGCTCTAACCCATATGGATAAGTGTACGACACAGTTTTAGAACTGATCCCTTTAATACAAAGGGTTCAGAATGGCCTTTAAAGTTCGAACGTTGAAGGTGCTTCTGAAAAGCTAGGGTATTTAACATTTCTCCAACTTCTTTACTGGGGTGTGGCACAGTAACGCATTTCTCGGAGAAAAGGGAAGGAGTAAATTTCGCTTTTCTCTGTCCCCGCCCAGTTCTGCGCATTCTTACTCCAACAGTACGAGAAGGAGGAAAGACCCAACCAGCGGGCGGCCCCCGGGCATCCTGGGGGATGTAGTTTAGGGGCGCAGAGACTACGTCCCAGCATGTTCATACCCACGAGAACCAGCATGAAGGCCCCAGGCACAGCCGCCTCGGCCAGAGCCCCGAGGCGCCTCCTAGTTCAGACTCTCCGACAGCAAAGGTTTTAATGACCTGCTGCGACACTTACTTTTTGCTCAGTTTCGGCTCGCAGTCGTCCACTTTAACTTCAAGCCCCTGCACCTCAGCCATCTTCCCAGAGGGCCGGACCTAAAGAGGACGAGGGTCGCACGGCAATTTCCAGGTCACGCTCAGAAGCCCCGCCTCTTCCGGGGAAAGGGGGCGGGCACTGCTCTGTGCAACTGCAGCGCAGGCGTAGTACGGGGTTGTGGGGTGGCGGCAGCGACGTTTGGAGTGTTACCTCAGGCTCTGGGGCTCTGTAAGCCGCGCGTTGGCAAGACGGCACCTTCTTCTGGTGCTCGGCGTGAGCTATGGCTGAGGCGATGGATTTGGGCAAAGACCCCAATGGGCCAACCCATTCCTCGACTCTGTTCGTGAGGGAGGATGGCAGCTCCATGTCCTTCTACGTGCGTCCCAGCCCGGCGAAGCGCCGGCTCTCGACGCTTATCCTGCACGGCGGCGGCACCTTGTGTCGCGTGCAGGAGCCCGGGGCTGTGCTGCTGGCTCAGCCTGGGGAGGCGGCGGCCGAGGCCTCGGGCGACTTCATTTCCACGCAGTACATCCTGGACTGCGTGGAGCGCAACGAGAGGCTCGAGCTGGAGGCCTACCGGTTGGGCCCGGCTCCAGGGGCCGACCAGGCCCCAGAGACGAAGCCCGGGGCTCAGGCTGGGGGCGCCGCCGCCCCGGAACCCGAGCTGCAGCCGTACGCGGGGCGGATCGTCTTCACAGACGCGGACGACGTGGCCATCTTGACCTACGTGAAGGAACATGCCCGCTCGCCCAGCGCAGTCACCGGCAACGCCTTGTGGAAATCGATGGAGAAGAGCTCGCTCACCCAGCACTCGTGGCAGTCCATGAAGGACCGCTACCTCAAGCGCCTGCGGGGCCAGGAGCATAAGTACCTGTTGGGGGAGGCCCCAGTGAGCCCCTCCTCCCAGAAACTCAAGCGGAAAACTGAGCAAGACCCCGAGGATGCTGATAGCGGGGGTGAGGCTTGCTGCGAACGCGCTAGCCCTTTGCTGTCCGCTGTGTGAGGCGGGGCCGTCGGCCTCTTTCCTCTTCTGTTGGGCGTCCATGTTGGCGTCGTGGGGAGCATCGTCCAGCCCCCTCCTCACCCCACCCCACCCCCTTTGACATCCGGGTAATATTGCGCCGTTTTCTAAGGTCTCTCTTAATTCACTTTTCCAATAACTGGGGTATTGGCATGGTCCGATATTAAAAAGGTGCAGAAAGAGTATGTGGAAAATTCTCCGCCCTTTCCTTTCCCACCAGCTACCTAGTTTTTTCCCCCCAGAGACAACGGGGAGCCAGCTTCTTGGGTATCTTTTAAGAGATTTCCCAGACTCGTTTTAAAAAATAGTTCTTCTGTATTCAGGTACATTCAGTATAAGACGTTTTAAAGCCATGTCTGCCAGACCAGCTTATTTTAATTTCTTAGCTTAAATGACTGCATATTCACATAAGAAGGTTCTCAGTGGGAAGTCGCTTCCACGTTTCGCTCGGGTGAAGTGTATTTCTAACGCAGTTGAACAGAATGTTTGGATTCAGGGCCGGTTAGGACACAGTGCATAGCTGTTGAGATGCTTCACTTCTGATAAAACGGGTATTGACAGCGTAAACTGACAGACCCTTTTGTTTAAAGTCATGCTGCTTCCTCAGCTTCTCTTTCCTTATGTGGCTATTCTGCATAACAGTTGAAATCTGGGAAGGCAAATCTGTTAATCCTATTCAATATGCTTAGTAGGGATTTTGTTTTTGGTAAAAGTGACATTTGAGATTCGTTCATTCAACAGATGTTTGAGTGCCAGACGTTTATCCTGCGGGGATATAACAGTAAATAAAACTCCCTTCAGTCATGGAGTTTAAAATGCTAGCTGGGCAGCGGGAAGTGCTACAGAAAAAAATAAATCAGGGTAAGGGCCGGAGAGGAGGTTGTTTTCTACAGGGTGAGAAGGGAAGGTCACTACTGTAAGCTGATGCTTGAGCAGAGACCAGAGGAAATGAAAGAACTCAGCAGTTGGTTATCAGAGAAAGAGTGA